AGTTTGAAAGGGACTGTTTTTAACTGATCAGTATTGTGTATGCAAGCGTGCTAGGAGCATGCATGTGGAGACTTGTGTGCATGCATGCATGTATAAAATACGCACAGCACGAGTTACAGTTGGGATTTGCACACGAAGCCGAGCAGTTTGCTGCTCAATTTCCTTCCTAAGCCCTTGCCTACATGTGTATCTTTGTGCAAAACCACCGTTGTTCATCAATCAAGCTTGCTGCACGTGTAGTGCGCCCACCACAAAGCCCTACAGGCTGGGAAGCAGCAGCTCTCTGTAAGCTCCCCGCGATGAAGAAGGGCATTTTGCAGAAGCCGCTGGTTACCGTGCATCACGAGAGACGTTCAGGCTTCAGTACAGACACACATCTTCCCACACATAGCAGCAGCTGGGAGCGACCCGGTTTATCTCCTTCCTGCTCGCTGCCTTCTGCTCTCCTGCACGGGGCTGGGAAGCCATCTCTGCACAGGTTTTGGAAAGAGGAGCTTTGATCTGCAGATGCGTAAGGAGGAAGGGTCAAGATCTGAAGCAGAACAGACTGGCAGAGAAACAGCCTGTTGGATCACGTCGATCAAATTACACCCTGCCACGGAGAATCCTTTCTCTTTTTTTTTAGGTCCAAAGTGCAAGAGAACTGAGAGCTTTCCTTTGAAGCTGAGAAGATGATTTCATGCCTCAGTGCTTTGGGAAGGTGAAGAAGTGTGCTTTGCAGTTCGCCTCTACCTTTCGCAGACCTTCAGGAAAACATCCACCCATACCTCTCCACCTGGTTTTCCAGGGTACCACTCTTCTTCACACCCTTCTGCTTGCAGTGAAGTCTTCCTCTCCTCAGACTGCACCAAGCTCATCCTGCTCCTTTTGGCTGAGTAGCTGTGTGCTCTCACCACTTATTCATGTTTGCTCTTGCTCTATTTCCTTCCCTTTTTCAAGATTTTTCTGCAGATAAATGCACTCACAGTTGAGAGTTTTGGTTAAGTAAGTGCTTTTCAAGTGCAAACAAATAATAGTGTCCAGAGTGCATAGGGATATTTTTGACTTGCTTTAGTTTTCACAAAGTCACATTTGTATGATAGGCACCCAGGGTGATAGTTTGGAAGGCTGTCCTTAGAGTTGTTTTAATTTGAAGTCAAAATCAATAGATAACCCAATTTTACTTCATACCAACAGACTGAATAATGAATTTTTGTTCACCTTTTTGAAATTAATTCCTTTGTAACTTGCAGCTGTTTTTTGAAAGAGAGCTTGAGCTTTAGGATGCAGATTCCCTCTAAGGTTGCAGAAGATGATCTGCAGTGCTTGGGAAGGGAAGGAAAGCAGGAGCTCAGCTGATGTGGTGCGTCTCTGCCCTCGTTTCTTGTCTCAAGAGTGAAGGCGTTGCTCTTTCCAACTCGATGCTCTCCTGGGCACTTTGCCACTCATGGTACAGTATGCCATGCTCAGCCCTGGCCTGGCAGCGTGTTGTTCAAGGACAGGGTGTTTTCATGCACGTGTGTAGGGCAGCTTGGAGATCTCCCTCAGCTGAGATGGGGCATCTGACACAGCCTCAGTGCTCTCTCAGAGTTTGTGTAATGCCGTGCCAATGGGGAGGCTGAGAGGAGAGCCCACGTGCATTTACAGTCCCAGAGAAGAGCGTTTGCTCTGGTATATAATGGCCTTCTGTTGGGTTTTAGTAGCGTATAGTTTAGTAAATTAGGAGTCTTCAGGTACTTAGCGCTTTAATGGTTCTCACTAAGAACATAATTAAACCATAGACCCCTTAGGGAGAAAAAACAGTTTATTGTGCATATTTTTAGAATCTGTTACCAGCCCTCATAAAACCTGGTAGAGACAAGCCAGAGAACATGCCATAGCTGGCAACCCAGCATGCATTTATCACGGCCAGCAGCCCCTGCCGAACATCGCGCCGAAGTCGCACGTCACAAATCTGCCCTGTGAATTATGGAATTAATTTTCCCCAATCTTGTTTCAGTACTCGTTTGCAGTGCAGTTTTTCTCTGGCTGCCAGAGGTGTGAGGCAGGCAGGTTTATTGTATTGTACCTTGTGTTGACACATAAAGCCAGTTTTTGCTAATCGTTTTTTTATTTAAAAACGCTTTCTGCTGTGCAGGAGTACCCAGAAATGTGGCTGCTTGGAGGCTGTGCTGAGCAGGTCCCCGTGCACCACCCTTGGCCTTGTTTGTTCAGTTGCATCTGAGCTGGTGCTGTGTTTTTCTGTGTCAGGATTTCACCATTCCCCATGCACAGAGTTGCTGGCTGCTTCCTAGACTGCTGCTCTTCGTGGGGCAGCCGTGAACCAAAGTGCAAAGCTAAAAATCCTCTGTGAAAGGAGCAGGGTAAGAGATGATGGAGTGCATTTCCCTCCTCCCAGGCTATGAGAGTCTTGTTGGAGGACACAATTGCACCAAGAGGCGTTCAGCTCACTTGCTTTGCAGGTCCCCCCGAGCACCCCAGCAGCCAGCAGCAAGCTTTCCCAGCATCGCCCTCGCTTTCACACAGTTTCCCAGCTCTGTGTTCCAGCCTCAGCAATGAGCAAAGCCGGCTTTCTCCCTGGGAAGCCCACGCTGTGCTCATAGCATCTGGAAGGCATCGGGAGGAACACACACACGCAGTGCTCGCCGCCCGCACCCTCCCCCTGCAGCTGTTCCACTCAGTGCTGGGACACACGAGATGCTCCTCTGTGCGCATCTTTTGCTCACCTTGGAGGTGTAGAGAAGCAGCTGCTGCAGTGGGGAGGAAGGTTCCTGGCTAATGGTGCAGTACCTAAAAGAGAGCTGTAAGAAAGAAGAGAGACTCTTGAGCGTGGTCTTTTGTGATAGGACAAGGGGAAATGGTTTCAAACTAATGGAGACAAGATTGGATGCAAGAAGAAAGTTGTTTACACTGCCAGTGGTGAAGCAGCAGCACAGGGTGCCCAGAGAGGTGGTGGTGCCCCATCCTTGCACACACCCACGGTCAGGCTGAACTCTGAACACTGATGGAGCTGTGGGTGTCCCTGCTCAGTGTAGGGATTGGAACCAGATGGCCTTTAGAGATCCCTTCCAACTCAAACCATTCTGTGATCACTTTATGCTGCTTTTTGTCCCCGCTAGAGAAGAGGCTTCTCTTTCTGTCCCTAACAGGGACGATGCCTGGGGTGACAAACCACAGCAGCAGAGGGGCTGTGGCTGGCCTGGGAAAGGAGCAGCCCCACTGGTCCATTTGTCAGCATCAGGCTGGGGCAGGCGCACATGCAGCTGGGGACACTGAGTGGCATGGTCAAGAGCTGGCAGTGGCCTTTACTTTGAAATAAAGCAGCAAATCCTGATCAAATGTGCAACAACTCGGTGTGATCACACTGAGATTTAACTCATCTGTAACTACGTGTGTGATTGCATGTGTAATACAGCCCATTCTTCTTGGTCCCAGGCTGCAAGTGCTGCTTGCACAGAGGAGTGTCCGGGCTCTCCACCCCAGCACATGGGGAGATGGGGTTGCGTGAGCATGAGTGCCACCTTCATGCGGCTCCTCTTGGCCTAAACACTGCAACCTGTGGGATTCTTATCTTATCAAGGTCAGCTTAGCTTAACACATTTGAGAAAAAATCAATCAAAGAAGCCTGCCTGAAGTCAGTTTTGGTTACTGCACTTTAGGAAAAAAAGATAAAGGAATGAGGTCAATTTTGGTTATCATGCTTCAGAAAAAAAAGAAGTGAAAGCAGCCAAGAAAGCAACCTGCCTTTCTGGAAGGGTGAACGCATTTCACAGCAGCTCGTGCTGACGGTACGAAGTGTCTCAGTGAGTTTCCCCAGAGCTCTGGGAGTCCCAGAGCCATCGTGCAGGCACAGGGTAACCGGAACCGGGGCTGCGGTGGCTGCAGGGCCGCGTCCCCCCGGGCTGGGGGGGGCTCTGACCCCCACCCCCACAGCGGCCGGGACCCCGCAGCGCTCCGTGACCCCACCGCTGCTCCATCCGCTGCCGCTGTCCGAGGAAGGAAGGATGCGGTCTCCTGTCCTAAGGGGTTACAGCAGCCTCCAGCCCATGGAAAGCAACACGTTTATTAGTCCCAGCTTCGCTAATGGGGAATTACAATAGTTGTGGGATTTGGCAGTGGAAGCACGCTCGATTGCCATGCCTAGTACAATATTTTCCCTGTTTTGTTTGTAGTTTTGATTTAGCTACAAATAATTTAAAGATGTGTTGTGTCTCCTTCAATTAAAACTTGCCTCTTCATCCTCTCTGTTTTTCTGACAGTTTTAAAACAATCCTGGTGAGTTTGAGCTTGTCAGACATGCTAAGGTAAATTGTTAACTCCTTTCTTTTTGCTTTAGGTAGCAGCGTTTCTGAGGGTTGCTGCTATTAACATATCACAGCTTGCTGCCTTTGTAAAATTTGCAGCTTTGTTGTACTGGATGGAAGATCTCCCTGCATCAAAAAAATTCAGAAGAATAATATTGTCACACAGCCAGCATGTAAATACCTTAAACCAATATAGCATGTTTAGAGGAATTAGACTTTCCTCTGCCGAATTATGATTTTGGAAAGCAGCTCTGCCACCACATTTATTTCAAATTTAAACATTTTGAAAGAGTATCTCCAAGGGTTTTGAAATCTGGTTCCCATTCCTGTCTCCGTTTGACCTCCTGTGTGACCCCAAGAAAATCTTTTTCTCTGTTTCTGGATCAGCTCGGTTATTCTCCCCATCTCTTGTGCTTCTGCAGAATGATTTAACATCCATTGGTGTGGAGCTACGTGCCACACGGCAGTATTAAAGGAACAGGGGTTCAACTGAAGATAAATGATTTGGGTTATAACAGAAAGGAAGAAGATTAACTCTTGTTTTCTATTAGATGTACTGGCTTAAAAATTCCCGGGTTTTGCATGAAAAAGGTCTGGATGAAGTAATTTCCTCTAAAATGAAAGGAAGCGCAGGGAAGGGAAGAAATGACTCCACAGTTCTGTTGGATCCCAGCGATGCCCTTGGGCTGGGGCTGACTCTGTGTTTTCATCTTTCAGACCCAGCCAGTGCCCAACCCCATCGCCTACTTCATGCACCGCTCACCAGGCTGGTTTCATCAGTTTGAGACCCTCTTCAACCACTTCATCGAGCTGGTGGTGCCCTTTTTCATCTTCATGGGACGAAGGATGTGCGTGGTGCACGGCGTTCTGCAGATCCTTTTCCAGGTAAGATGTTCCTGCGGTTGCTTCCTAAGGTCCCGTCTCCTCCCAGCAAACCACAGGGTCTCCATGTGAGCTGCAGCTGCACCCCTCTCACTGTTCCACCACCTGCAGTGGAACGCTGGGTGGCAGCGAGGTGGTTGCTGTACCCATGTTTCCAAACTGGAGCAGAGGAACTGATGCAAGAGCCGGGTCAGGAGTTCAGGCTCCAGTGAGTCAGAATGATTCAGAGCTCTCACAGTTGGCTTTGGGGTGACTCGCGCTGGTGGGGCTGCCCTGGGTGTATTGCTGGAGAGGTGCTCCCTGGCCTCTGCTTCATTTCCCATTCATGTGAACAGCAGAGAAACATTGGCTCAGGACAAGTGTGCAGGGGCTGATCCTGCAGTGGCCAGGAGGCTGTGGTTGGTCAGGATGAATCATAGAATGGCTTAGGTTGGAGGGGACCTCAAGGATCACCCAGTTCCAACTCCTGCCATAAGCAGGGCTGCCACCCACCACGTCAGGCTGCCCAGGGCCCTTCCAGCCTGGCCTTGAACGCTTCCAGAGATGGAGCTTGAACACTTGCATTTTCTCTGAAAGTTGATATTTATGGACATCTTTGTTTGTTTGTTTGTTTCATATTTAATGGTTAAGGGCTGTTCTGTATCTCTGAATTTGAGTTATTTGGTTTTTGTCCTGTTTTTTACAACCATCAGATTTACTGAGCTTAGATTCATAGCAAAAATCCTTTCTTCAGAAATTAATGGCATTCATGTCTCAGTTGTGGGTTGTTGTTGTTTTGTTTTTTTTCACATGAAATAAATAAATGTGCAAAAGTTAGAGGAAAGAAGCTCCTGAGCACGTGCTTTCCAAAGCCTCATCTCATTTCTCCCTTCTGAGCTGCAGGATAACTGAAAGCCCCAAGTGAAGCGGCGCTGACGTGCAGCAGCACAGCTCCCATTTAGTGCAGCCTTTGTTCAGTATCACTCCAGCGTCGTGAAATTCATATGCTGTAGCTGTTACTGCTTCCTGTAAATACGTGTGATGATTAAACTGGAGAACAGCTTATAAACTCTATTGGTAAACCACAAAAATGCTGATCAGATTTTAAAGGGCTGACATAAAAGCTGCGGGATTTGTGCACTCGCAGAGGAGCCCGCCAGCTCCCCTGCTTCCCAAGCTCATAGTACTGAGCTGGGTACCAGCAAACACGCAGCATGGAACCTCGATTGCTTGGCACAGCTCTTGGCACCAGGTTTTGCTGTAGTGGGGGCTTGGGGCAAGGTGAGGGCAGCTGCTTCTGCACCACGGGCAGAGCAACACATCCTTTGGCAGCTGCTCCTTCGGAAGAGAACGGGGGGGGTGGGGGAGATAGCTGCTGAAATTGGATTAGTGAACAGGAATTGCAAGTAGGAATAGTTCTGCACATGAAGAAGTGTAGGGAGGATGACAGTGGCTTTTTCTCAAGGCAGACAGACTCAGAGAGGACCAGAGCGCAGCACGGTGAGTGGCCTCTCGGAAAACAAAGATTTGCAGTCTTTGGCACGGCTATGCAGCCTCAGAGCTGTTCTGCTCTGCTCTGCTCAGTTCTGCCTTGATAGAAAAATAGTAGTTTAATGGACTGTGACGATGCTGCTTTGTCTTCACATCTCTGCCAGTGAAACTTGCTTTCCCAAAGCCTGAGCTGCTCGCTCGTGCCTTCCTTGGCTGCTCAGTGCTGGGCTGGTCCTGTGCTGCGGGGCCCTAATGAGCAGCACTGCTGATTGTGTGCTGAGGACTTCAGGCGAAGCCACTGGGATCTGAGAGAGCAAACTGCATCCAATAGAGGCTCATAATGACATACTGTAAATGCATGCATCTGACCGCCCTTTAATTGGTGCTTTATTGATAGTTTGCAATTACTGACTTATTCTATCACGAGTGGAGTCTGCAAAGGTAAAAAAGGGTCCCAGTGTAAAATGCAGCTCTGGTGCATTTATAGCATTTCAACAAAAACCTGTTTATTTAATATTTACTGCCCTTTTCTTCATTCAGAATGACTTTTATTGACAATACTTCTGCTCTGCAAAGGAAGCAATAAAGTTTAATGTTGATATACCACTTAATTCTGCTTTTCAAGATTTGAATTGACATTACATGCAAGTTTTATTGGACATTTTATAATTGTTATTGGAGTCATGGTGGCTAGGTTGAGTAAATGTATTTTTCCAGATTCCAACTGGCCCGGAGAATATTGCTTTGTCAGGAGCCCAGAAGAAGTTGTGCTTTTAAAAAGACTTTTCTTTTTTTTTTTTTTTGTAATTGCAAGTGTGAACTTATTGTTCTTTCCCAGTTCACCTTTGCAAGGTAGAAGGCTCAGTGGATTGCTGTGCAGTTATGCCCATGAGGCTGCAGGCTCAGCATGTCCTGCTGCTGCTCCACTTGCACTGGTGCTGCTGAGAACTCAGTGCTGTCAGTAGGAGTGTGGTTTGGGTCTGCTTCTTCCCATCTGAGTCCTCCATAACTTGAATTTCCAGAAATCTTCCCGTTTGGCTGCTTTTTTGATCTCAAAATCAAGGAGTATGTTGAGTGCTGGCCAGTTCCCATTTGAAAAATCGTTTGTTGTTGCTAACCATTGGGCTGGAGAGAGAGAGCTTTGTGATGGGTGCAGCTTTCACAGGACATCTGTACTCAGAGACGTTCTGGATCAAATCACAGTGCCCAGAGCACATTTGCCAGGATCAAAAGTGAGCTGAGAGAAAACATCATCCAAGCACTCAATGCAGCATGTCCAGGCCCTGTCAGCAGTTTGTCCCCTGTGCTCCTGCTATATGAACATTTAACTTTTCAATATCGTAGGGAATTATTGTAAGCAGCTTTGTAAGCCAGATTTGATGTGCTGAGCAACACTGCTGCTAATTGTCTCTGCCAGGAATGAAGCTGGAGGAGAGAGTTACAGCTCATCTCCTCCCTGCTTGGGTCTGCAGCAGATGTCCAGCTTGAGCCTCAGAAACCTCCAAGTATGCCTAAGTTGGAATTGGCCTCTTATTCACATTATAACCAACAGTCTTCAGAGTTTGTGAGAGTTCACTAAATTCTGAAAGCTCTTTGCTGCCTTTTATTGCGGTGTTTGTGAAGAGCACGGACGCATTTTGAGCCAGGACTGTGCGTCGAGATGCTCATGTTGGGAGTTCAAACCTAACCTTATTAGGTTCAGTCTTCCAGCACCCGGTTCAGGGTTTCAGACACCCTCTCTAAACTCACACAGAGGAACTTGTTTTCACTGCATGTGCCTGCATGGGGACTGTTGAATGTGTTGTCACTTCATGGGCTGGAAGTGGAAGAGTTGGGGAAATCCAGTTGTCTCCAGATGTTTGGAAGTTCACTGTGCAGTTGGTACAAGGTGGGCAGGAAGCAGAGGCTGTTGCGTGTCATGGACATGGGAATGCTGCAGGAGGTTGGAGCAGCTGCCAGTAAATAGTTGTGAAATTCAACGGATGGTTCTTTCGTTCAGGGTCCTGTGATATCAGTAGGCTGATTTTGTAGCAGTGTTGGGACCTGAGCAACAATATATACATGTAGATTTGAAGCACCCCAAAGTTCATGACAAATCACGACCAAAATGTGATTGTTAGCATGTAGAGATGGAAGAACAGTAGAATCATAGACTCCTTTGAGATGGAAGGGACTTTAAAGGGTGTCTGGTCCAATTTCCTGCTCTGAACAGGGACACCCACAGCTCCATCAGTGCTCAGAGCCCCATCCAGCCTGACTGTGGGTGTGTGCAGGGATGGGACACTGCCACCTCTCTGGGCACTCTGTGCCACTGCCTCACTGCCCTTAGCATAAAGAAAATCTTTCTTATATCCAAGAAGAGGTCTTAGAAACGGTCCTAGACTTTCTGGAGGCCACAGGTGAGATTTGAACACTGTCATTCTAGTTTCTGTAAGACAGAGCCCTAAGGAGCTCATTGTTTTAAGGGAAGGAAGATGGAAGTATTGAATGAGGAGAGGAAAGGCAGGGCGAGGGAGGCTCACAACCTGCTCACAAACCAGGTGCCATCAGGTAGAGGACCTTTCCACCAACCCATCACCCCCATGGGTCCATCCCTCTGCTCACCACCCACGGCCAGCATCAAGCACGAGGGTCCAGGAGTGAAATCAGAGAGGGTGCAAAACCATCTCCTTGCTGCTTTGCGGTTGTTTCGCTGTTCTGCGTCGCTGGCTCCTAAAACCCTGAAGTTGCATGTTTTTCACGATGTCTAACGCACAGCTTACACCAGCAAACGTATTTCTTGGCTCCTTAAGGCAGGCTGTAAAATTACACTGCTTGGCAAATGAATTGATGAGGGGAAGCTAGAGGGAAGCCAAAAAGTGAGGAGAAAGCCACCTTGCCCCCATGAGCTGGCAGGTAGTGCTGGATCCGAGTGCTTGTAGGGCCGGCACAGGAGGGGCTGAGGTTTTCTACAGCCGTGGAGCAGTTTCAGCTGTGCCAGGTGGGAAGGAGCTTCAATATCACAATGATAAAATAAATAAATGTATAGTTTATTACACACAAAAAAAAATAGTAAGTGGAAAGTGTAAAGCTAGCACTGTTGGAAAAGCAGGGTCATTCCTTTGCTTCTAGGGAGCTGTTCTGGGTAGTAGTCATGGTTTGGGATTTCCAGGGTTTTAGACCTCAAATCACTTCGGATTCAAATCAGATTTGGGGGCCTGATCTCTTCCGTGGCCCCTGGAAACTCCTGGCACCTCCTGTATGGAGCGTCCTCGTGCAGCCTGGGGGCTCAGGAGGTGCCAGGGGCATCGGTTCTGGGAGGGGATTGGAGTAAAGCAGAAGTCCTGCTGGGGCCTCAGGGCTGCCACCAGTCTTCATCCCACAAAGGCTTGGCAGTGGGTGTAATTCAGGGCTGTCCGAGGGTGTTTTCAGCAGGAGCCATGTGTGAAAGGCAGAAATGACAATGCCAAGAGCAAAGCTGAATTCCAAGCTTGTGGAAAGGAAACATAAAAGCCCTCAGCAGCCAAAACCCTCAGTCTGATTCAGAGAGCTGA